CTGTCTCTTTTACATCTTTGAAACACTCTTCTATTCCCCCACCCACTCGAATTTTTTCACTTTGATGTTCCTCCACCTCTCTGTGAAGTCTGAGGTCAACTAAAGGGTTAATAATAACTATCAAAACACCTGTCATTTGATATAAATAAAATTGTGATATATGATATGGCCCAAAGTGTTAGATAGTCACAAAGCCATAAATCACAGCTTATACAAACTAAACATACTACTGAAATTAAAATTTTCTTTCGAGCTAAGAAAATATGTGATAATAAGTCCAAAAGCGAGTTCGTTACTAGGTCCACTAAAAAGTACTGCAACGCCAGCATAATACAACTCCTCAAATTTCCTAAAGCTGCTAGGAACGAAGGGCTGCAAATTGCAAGTCCAGCTCCTGAGGAAGGAAAATTTTGGTTCCAACCTTCCACAAAGTAGGATTGTATTTTGGCAGAAAGGGAGAAAATCTGGAACCATTCAACATAGTGAACAAGGAGATCTAATCGAAGGATTGTGGAACTTTACCAATAGGAAATTTGAAGTAATATATGCTACTTTAGGAGTCTTTCCAAGAGGGGTTTAGAGATATCCCATTTCTAATGTCCTAATATTCCTTAAGGTTAAAGGGAGTACAACACCTTCTGTCAGTTGAGAAGATGAAGGGTGGCGTTAGATCAGGTGACACTGGACAAACAGAGGTAATAAGGAAAAAATGGTGAAGGAATGGCATATTAGAAATGAACCTGACGAATAAGGGTATTAAGAGTGGCATGATGATGATCTAACTAGGCTCTAGCTCGCATGAATATCCAGTCAAGTATATGAACCAATCAGAGCCCACTGTTCAGCGGATAATGTCGACCAACAGCACACGAGCAGCGTGCAACTTCTGGACAACTTTTTCAGAGTAAATTCGAATTATTTGTTTCAAAAATTAGAACAAAAATCCTTGAAATTAATAGACGCTTCTTATATTTTGTTTTGGTGCAAGGAGTTTGAATGAACGCGAAATAATTAGAGACCTCTGTCTAACCGCGTAGTCAGAGCTTCAATGAAAGATGAGGGAGGAGTGTAAACAAGCTCTTTCGAAAATACTCTGCACTTCTATTTAAATGGAAAACTACCAGATCTTGAGCGTCCTTCGAGACGAGTCAGAAATCAAACTAAAAGGAAACACGAACATTGGAATCCGCTTGGAATTGCGATCGGGGTAAAATTAGTAGATTATTGCAGTTATTTAGTCACCAAAATTTGCCAAGATGTAGAAGGAGATCAAATTGACATAATTTAATTCATTGGAATGTTCAAGTTGCCACAACCGATATACCTACGTAGAACATGGAATTCACTCAGATCAAAATTAGATAGTAGAATTCTCGAAGACAACCATGAACACAGTCGTGTCTCCCGAGTGAATTTTTTTGCATACATGTGTCAAAGTTCAAAAGTTACTTGTTTGCCTAGCACACACCAGAATGGTGAATCGTGAATTCATGTCAAAAAACGAATCAGATTCATTCTTCTGAATAGCTGCGATAAAGTTTAAACAGCAGTTCAAATCAAGCTATGCTTCGCTAAAATCTTTACATCTTAGCACAAACGGTTGGAGAGATGAAAACCAGATAGTCGTTCCTGAGAAACTCATCTTCTCCTTTTTCGGCTTTTTTTGAAGTTTTTGGAAACTTTTGATGGAAGTTCGATGCATTTTGGTCGACACTATTAGCGGCTGTCTGTGAAGTTTGGTGGATAGATAAATTCATATCAAATAGTGGGAGTTTTGATAGTTATCATTAACCCTTTAGCTGACTTCGGGCTTCACAGAGGGGAGGAGGAACATCAAAGTCACAAAAAAAGTCGAGAGGGAGAACAGAAGCGTGATTCATAGATGCAAAAGTCAGACAAACACAGAGGTAGAGTGAAAGGTAAGGTGAGTACTGTGAAAGTGCTTGAATATGACATACAGTGGGGTCATGGTAGTTTAAAGGGAGAGAAGTCAACTGCCTGTTTATGGACTTTTTTTGCAGTATGAGTATACGTTGTTTATGGTGGATAGATAGAGGTGGGAATTTGCTATGCTGAACTAAGAATACTGAACTTACCGATCAGATTGTTTAATCGCAGGAACGTATTTGGCACAATTGAGTTGTGTAACCCTCTGTTCGATCCACGTGGGCTATAAATCAAATGCCAGAAATTGGTAATGTAAGCAAGCCATAAGAAAAAATGTTTTAAAATTTAAACCAGTTAACTCGGGAGTGAACTTAGACAGTCACCGTAGAATGCACTCAAGTAACTTATTGCTATTGACCAATTGAATTGCCTATAGGTCGCATTGATAGCTTCCAATCATTTCCATTGGTCACTCACATTGCTAATCGTAGATTTTGGAGAGACTAATTAATCAATATGCCATTACCATCCACCCATTGCTTTATAAACACAAATTTCCCTTCTGAAACAAAGGATTTAAATTTGAATAATTAAATTTTAAAGTACTACGATATAGTTTTGCGTAATCGATGCTTAGGACATTAACAAAGTTCTCGTTCCCTCAAAAGTAGCGAATCTTGAGTACAGATGACGTTAATCTTTTAATTCATTTTTTAATTCAATAATAATAATAATAATAATTTGAAATAAACTTAATCGGGCGTCATCAACAAATACGAACTAATATCTACATTTTAGTTAGCTAGAGACCAAAATAGCATAATTACTTAGTTCCATTTATTGCTCAATTGATACTAGACAAACAGGCAATTCTTTAAATTACAATTTTTACTCCCTAATTCAGTGCCTATGACTATTTGTCCCAATAATGCCTCTCGATTTGATCTGCGCTTAACACCGAAAGTTCGTTACTGACCCCTCCATGAGTCATTTTGACCTGACTAATCGAGTTTCATTTTCAGTTCTCATACCCACTTATTTTACCTTCAATGCCAAAGTTTCATGTTTCAATGATCCTCCCACTGCGTCACTTCAACCACTTTCGCATTCACCATTTCCTCTTCAAAAAAACCTCAGCGATGAAATCTGAGGCTAAACTAGGAATGTAATAAATTAACCCTAGTGACGAACAAATAGATAATTAGATAAATGGCGGTTTCAATTCATTTAAGGTCCCTTGATCCCCAACAACAATAATGTCAAGGCCATTAGGGATAGCCTTTCAATGGTCCAATGTGTATGAAGCCTTTCAAGTGCGGATTTCGATTTTCGCTATTGGCGACTTCATTTACCCGCCGCAGATGGCCAATCGGCTCATTGTTCGTGCGCTGACTGCATTTAACACGTTTTAAGGAATGTGTAAATTACACCAATACTTAAAAGTAACTTGTCAATTTAATTTTCCTTGAAAAATAAGTCATTCATTTTATCAAACAAAAATCCATAAGAGTGATATTATATAATTTTTTTAATGAAAATGTGAAATTATTCCCCTGTGCGGCAATATAGGTCACTAAATTTTGTACTTAAAATTGAGCAGGTCATGCAATAATACAGCAAAATAAAATAAAATTATTGAATGGAGCTGCTAACTAGCCGATTTGGCTTGGTAATAATAAAGCATGTAAGTCAAAGTTGTGGGTTTACCTGGACGGAGGTCGACTGAGACGATGACGATGATGTGGAACTTGAGCTAGAACTAGAATTAGGACGGATCTTTTTCCTTCCCCTTCGATGTCGGTAACGATTTTGGGAAATATGGTGGCTTGGAAGAGTAGGAAACGGCAGATGAGGTCTGCAGTGTTGCTGGTGGTGAGGAATGGGGGAGTCAGGCTGTGGGTCCATTGGGGAGATATCCTCGTTGCTGGTGGTGATAATAAAAGGCTGTAGAGATTGCAGATTTGATGAAAGAAATGGCGAATCCAGTTCGGCTTCTTCTGAAAGCGGGAAAGGCAGGAGTGTGTAAATTCGAAACTTTATGTGTTGTTTTCAATTGGCGTCCCTGAGGAACTGGTTATATTAAGGCCTTAATCCTCCTTAGGCACTAAATTTGCGGAACTCCAGATTCAGCATTTACGGCAAATTCCATACAATAAGTAAAGAGTTCTGGATATAACACGATCTGTGTGTTCGTTATATTCGAGTTTAATCGCAAGAAGAAGATTAACTTGTTCGAATTTCTATGGAAAATGTCCTAATAAAATTCTTAAAGGATCCGTTCTCTTTAAAAAAATCATTGTACTAGGAAAATATCAAGACATTAATATTCAAATATTAACGGTTCAAACATTAATACAACCAATACTAATTATACTAAATAATTATTTAATTATAAGTATCTAGCACATGCAGTAGGAAATTTTATGTTAATTAATGAAAAAATTGCCATAAAATCTTATGATATCACTGTATGCGTCATCGTATGCCTGCATGTCTGCTCGCCAGGATTGGGAGGTGCGGCCGTACAACTCTGTGTGCAGCGACCGTACAAACAGTGACCAATCATCAACCTCTGTTTAACCTAATCCCCCATCCTGATCATGAGTAGCTCCCTGGGTGTACACATTTTATCCGCAATACTCGTACTGAATAAGCGTGCTCCGTGCTACACGTCTGTTTCCATGATAGCTGAGCTATAGCTTAGCTGGTTCTGGGAGTCTAGCCAGATGTTGGAGAATCTGCCATAGAGAATTCTGAGTCAGTCAGGCTTTACTAAGGTAGCAATCCGCTACAGATAAAACCATAATCATTAAAAGTAAACCTCCATTTGGTTCAATCTTAATTAAAAATTAAAATGTCAATTAGCACAAAGCTGTAAATAGCTATTTATGTAATCAAAAGGTGCAGTTACTGGTTTGAAGTATTAGGTTGGCAACTAAGTAATTGCCGATTTCAAATAAGAAGGCAAATTCGGAATTTTTGTTTAAAAATATAACTTTATTCAATTAGATATTGGCCGTTCTTGTCGATGACCTTTTTCCATCGTTCTGGCAGAGTAAAAATTCCCCGTTCGTAAAATGTCTGGTCTTTGCTATTAAAAAACTGAATTAGGTGTGATCCGACATCATCCGTGCTGTTAAAAATTTTACCATTTAAAGAGTTTTGCATGCAACGAAACAAATGGTAATCCGAAGGCGCAAGGTGAGGGCTATATGGTGGGTGTGACAAAACATCCCAACCCAGTTCCAATAATTTTTGCCGAGTAACCAAAGATGTGTGGGGTCTTGCATTATCATGGTAGAAAACAACACCCTTCCGATTTGATAATGCCGGCCACTTATCTTCAATTGCATCCTCCAGTTTTTCGAGTTCTTCAACATACACATTTGAATTTATCGTTTGGTTCTGCGGCATGAGTTCAAAGTACAAAATTCCTTTGTGATCCCACCAGACTACTGACAGCATAATCTTTTTTGGTGAATCTCTGCTTTTGATACTGTTTGGGCTGGTTGATCTTGCTTCACCCATGATCTCTTGCGAGTAACATTGTTATAAACTATCCACTTTTCGTCGCCAGTAACTAGGTTCTTCAGAAATGGATCATTCTCATTGCGTTTCAGTAGCGGCGAATCACAGATGCTAATCCGTTGCGTCAAATGAATTTCCTTTAACTGGTGAGGGATCCATAAATCAAGTTTCTTGACATAACCAAGGGTTTTTCATTTTTTTCAATGCATGTATGCGACACATTGACCTTCTCTGCAATATCTCGTGTTGTGCTGTGACGATTTGAATCGATAATGGCCTTGATATGGGTTTCATCCACTTCGACTGGGCGGCCAGATCGTTGTGAATTTTTCAGTGAAAAATCACCGGAATCACGAAATCTTTCAAACCAATTTCGATACTGCCTTTCTTTTAAGGCTTCATCTCCATATACGGCACATAACTTTTTTTGTGCTTGCGATGCGTTCTTGCCTTTTCGGAAGTAATACAATAAAATGTGTCGGAAGTGCACGTCCTGTTCTTTCATTTTTAAATTGGGATAAAAACAAAACTAGGGAACTAAACAAAAAATTTTTTTGCTAATTAACCTAGAAGTCCATACAGTAAGAAAAAAATAAAGGTTAGATGCTCTGGCCACGTTAACAAAACAAAAGAAAGTATAGAGTGAATCTGTCAACAAAAACGGCAATGACTTAGTTGGCAACCCAATAGTATTAAGAGTAAAAATATGAAAGTAAAAGACGGCTAAAACAATTAGATAGGTAAGTATGTACTAATTTAAGCTTAAAATGAAGGGTACGTTTACTTTACAACAGGTGAACTAGTTTTTGCGAATATATTAAAAGGGGAGCATACTTATTGGTAGTGAGTAGTATTTGATATTGCAGTGCGTTTAATTTAGGAGCTTTGGCAACGCTTGTAGTGCAGAACGAGGGCTTATTGGAGGCGATAGCGTAAGTAACTTTAACTTCCAATTTTGAGCAGCTCACGAGCGTCTCGAACATTCTTTGTTGACGACGAATCCTCGCCTTTGTTCTCTTCCTCGCCCAGTAGTTGAGTGTTTCAATAATCAGTTTTTCTAATCCACAAATTGAGAAGCGCTGAGAGTAGTGGACTGCTGTGAATAGCTCAGATTCTGTAGGTCTAAGAAATGAAGAGTTACGTGTATTTTTAGGTCATAAGTAGGTAAATTGCAGTGCTAAATATTGTAAAAACATGTTATTTGAAAGTCATCTGAACTTAAACAGAATTGCGTGCTTGCAGAACGGGCTCATAGCACTCAGAACCTAAACAATGTTTTTAAAACCCCCCCCCCCTCATTTTGAAAAATCCGGCAACAATTGAAGTTTAATTGATCTCTTTAAAATTTTCACTACTTTTGCCCAGTTCCAATTTTGCGCGAGGCCTTAAATTTTTTAAATCAGTCAAAAATGACCGAAAATAATGTTTATTCTGACAAAAAAGAAAGCGTTGACAAGGCAACTATTTGTGCAAAAAATCAATAGCAGAAATAAAAGATTATAACAACCTAGAGGACCATGAAAGTGATGTAGATTAATATGAATAGTGCTGTGGAAAGTTGCCTCAGTCGTCAGCGTCGATAACTGATAATATGAAATCAATTCTCATGAACAACCAAACACAGTGAAGACTTCTAGCAACTAAGCAAAACCTCCCCACCATCAGTATTAATATCAAATGGCAGGCTTTATGATAGTCATCATTAACCCTTTAGTTGACTTCGAGCTTCACAGAGAAGAGGAACATCAAAGTAATAGAAAGTCGAGGGGTGGGGAACAGAAGAGTGTTTCACAGAAGTAAAAGAGATAGACAGACACAAAGGCAGAGCAAAGGTAAGATGAGTACTGTGGAAGTGGTGGAATATGACATAACGTGGGATGATCATGGTAGTTTGAAGTCAGAAGTCAACTGACGGGAGTATACGTTGCCCAGGATGCACCACGTGGAGGTAAGTCTATCGCACACCCAAAAAATATATATATATATATATATATAGCTCGAAAAAGATCCGAAATCAAATAATCCAACTTTCCAAATCAGTAGGAAGAAAGACAATGGATGCATGAAGTTCTAATCTTGTGGGGGGGGGGGTTGCGTGATGTGGTCGTGAGAGTGATTGGAAAGGTCTAAACAAGGTGTACTTTGACGATCTGCCTGACTTTGCACCATTTTCNCAAGATGCACCACGTGGAGGTAAGTCTATCCCACACCCCAAATATATATATATATGATGCTCGAAAAAGGTCCGAAATCAAACAATCCAACTTTCCAAATCAGTAGGAAGAAAGACAGTGGGATGCATGAAGTTCTAACCTTGTGGGGGGGGGGTTGCGTGATGTGGTCGTGAGAGTGATTGGAAAGGTCTAAACAAGGTGTACTTTGACGATCTGCCTGACTTTGCACCATTTTCTGAGTCATCGTGTACTCACTGCAAGTTCAAGAGAAGTAAGTACAGTAATTCGAAAAACTACTGTCTCACCTGCGCAACTAACGAAATTGAATAAGTCCATTTTGAAGGCAGATAAACGTCAGTAAACGTCGCAAACCCCCACCACCATCAATATCATATTTCGCCAATGCTTCTCTAATGAATTTAGGAAGGGTTTTTGGATCAAAAAAATTAGGAGTAATTATTATTGATTTAGCTTGAGATTACAGTTTCAGTTGCGCTACAGGACAGAATTAAAAATCACAAAATTTTTTTTTGGGGAGAATGTGCTGATAGATTTGATAATCGCTCAGTGCATGACTGGTTTGTATAGAAGCGGAAGACAATTCAGAATGTGAGTGTTAGTTCAATCTTAACGGGGTTTTCCATTTCAGGAAACCATTTTTGGTGCCAAATAAGCGCCCATGGGGAGGGTCACGCTTCAGTCTCAAATAGAGAAAAGCTGTAGAACTGCATTTCAACTACCGTAATTGTGTTAAATTGAGGGGGGGGGTAATTATTATTGATTGTGTCTCCAGATTTGTTACCTAGTGTTAGGGGCGATTGGTTACCAAGCGCGGGACTGAATTAAAAGAAATCACGGCTTTACTCCCTGTTTGCTTGTCCGAGGTCAATTCAGATTAATGCAGAAATACGTATTTTTTCCACACTGTTTAGGTTTGCAATGTCACATGATGCCAACCTCTAGCCTAATTGCCGATTGCTCGTCAACATGCGTGAAAGGCGAAATCTTTCCATCGACTTATCATGCCACTTACATGCTTGATCCTCACAGTCTGGGCTGATCTCGTTTAGCCCTACCGGTTACACCTTATCTCTGCGGGACACGTCATCGCATGCATACGCGCCAATATCGTGAGAAGCGGCCGTAAAACTCTGTGTGCAGCAACTGTACAACCAGTGGCCAATCACTAGCCTCCGTTTGTTTAACCTAATCCACCATCCTGATCATGATTGAGCTCCCTATGTGTACACTTAATCCGCAACATACTGGATAAACGTGCTCCGTGTACTTGATCCGCAAGATACGTCCTGAATAAACGTGCTCCGTGCACACTTTTCTGATCATTACGTGACTGAATATACGTGTTCCGAATTATCGTCTGTTTCCTTTATAGCTGGGCTATAGCTTAGCTAGTTTCGGTCTGTTTCCTTTATAGCTGGGCTATAGCTTAGCTGGTTCGTAATATGCTCACTGAATAGACGTGCTCCGTGCTACACGTCTGATACCCGTACTGAAAAAACGTGCTCCGTGCTACACGTCTGAATCCGTACTGAATAAGCGTGCTCCGTGCTACACGTCTGTTTTCCCGTATCGAATAAACGTATTCCTTGCTACACGTCTGTTTTCCGCTACTGAATAAATGTTCCGTGCTACACGTCTGTATCCTCTGTAGAATAAACGTGCTCCGTGCTAAACATCTGTTTCCTTTATATGCAATATACGTACCGAATAAACGCATTTCGTGCTACACGTCAGTTTCCCTTATAGCTGGACTATAGCTTAGCTTGTTCTGGGAGTCTAGCTAGATGTTGGAGAATTCTCCGTGCTACTCGTCTGTTTCCTTTATAGCTGGGCTATGGTTTAGCTGGTTCTGGGAGTCTAGCTAGATGTAGGAGAATCTCCCTGGTTCTGGGAGTCTAGCTAGACGTTGGAGAATCTGCCGTTCTGGGAGTCTAGCTAGATGTAGGAGAATCTGCCACAGATATAAACGCGCTCCGTGCTACACGTCTGTTTTCTTTATAGCTGAGCTATAGCTTAGCTGTTCTCTAGCTAGAGGTTGGAGAATCTGCCATAGAGATTTCTGATTCCTAGCTAGATGTTGGAGAATCTGCCATAGAAATTTCTGAGCCGGTAGCTAGATGTTTGAGAATCTGCCATGGAGATTTCTGAGTCGGTCTAGATGTAGGAGAATCTGCCAAAGAGATTTCTGAGTCAGGGAGAATCTGCCACAGAGATTTCTGAGTCAGTCAGGCTTTTCTAGTGTAGCAATCCGCGACAACTCCCAATTCCTCTTCTTCCCCCACCCCCATCCCCGAAAAGATCATTCATCCTTAATTTGTTGAAGCTCTTGAGGTAGTTTTGCCGACGGGTTTGGCGATCGTTCAAGGAAGAGAGGGTGAATTGAGGAGGTAGAGAAAACTTGATGTAGTGCAAATTCTATAAATTGATTAATCATTGCCAGGAGTGACGTTTCATTTCATCAATTAGGGAAATTTATGAAGCGATCTCATATGGCGTGAATAAGAAGTCTGATTGACAGCCCAGTGCGCTTCTGAAATTCAAACATTCCTACCAAAAAAAACCTTCCACACATCTAAATGAATGTTAAATGAAAACCAGCTCCATTTTCGCATCATTTCGCATTAAGCAACGATCCTAAAACCGTTAAATGCGTAACCTTGGCGTACTGCTACATCACTGTCGTTTGAATTTTATGCACAGTAAGTAAAATGAGAAAAGATAAATTTTCAGGTGGGAGGGTGTCCGAATGGGCCAAGTTAAAATGCAAGGACTTACCGGATCACTGCCAGAAGGTGCCAAGAATCCACAGCCAACTGAAAATGAAGCAGCGTCGAGAGCGTGAGAGTTCAAGAGGAATATCAGAGAATTGCAATGGAGAGTGAGAGAAAGAGAGGCGGAGAGAGTGAACAAGTGCCAATAATCACAGAGGGGCATTGGTTATTTCAAGGATACATGAAGTCAGCCACACTTCACTCCTATTGGTCCAATTACTGTGTGAGTTCAAGCCTGCCCTACCAGCTGAAATTAGAAGCAGTAACTTAGAGACAACAGTTGGAGAGGAGTGTTGGGAGGCTGAGAGCTGTGGTAGGTTTCTACTTGTGCGTGTTGGTAGCAATAATTCATTGTACTTGTGCCTTATAGGAGGACTGGCGATACTTTGAGTTATAAAAGTTTCAATTGTAGTTAAATATATATATATATATATATATATATATATAANCTAACTAGTCACTCCCCTCCCCCAATAAGACACTATTTGTGCCCTTTTATAAAATATAATTTGGTTTTATTTAGACTTACCTCCACGTGATGCACCCTGGGCAACGTATTCTTATACGGCAAAAAAGTTTATTGACCAGCAGTTGATTTTTCACTTCAAATTACCATCACCCCACTATATGTCATATTTGACTACTTCCACAGTAATCACTCACCTTTTTTCTACCTTTGTATCTGTCTCTATTACATCTTTGAAACACTCTTCTCTTCCCTTCCCCCTCACTCGACTTTTATTTCCCTTCGATGTTCCTACCTCTCTGTGAAGCCTGAAGTCTACTAAAGAGCTAATGGTAACTATCAAAATGCCTGCCATTTGATATAAATAAATTAACTTCTGACTTTAAACTTTCATCACCCCACTGTATGTCATTTTCCACCACTTCCACAGTACTCATCTTACCTTTTCTCTGCCTTTGTGTCTGTCTATTTTACATCTCTAAATCGCTCTTCTGTTCCCCACCCCTCAACTTTCTGTTACTTTGATGTTCCTTCCCCCTGTGAAGCCCGAAGTCGACCAAAGGGCTAATGATAACTGTCAAAACGCCTGCCATTTGAAATAAATAAATTTTGGAAAATATAAAAAATCTGAAAAAAATTAATTTGAGATTAGTTAAATTTCTGGGCAATACTCGAAGATATAAATTTACAATCTTTTTTTGTTTTGTTTGGACTTAACAACAATTCTGAGGAAATTTCGCTCGCTTGAGTGGGTGCAGGGGTAAATGATGCATTACAAGTTATAATAATAATGCATTTACAATAAATTAATTAACGAATAAATGAGCAAATTGTATCTGCATTATTCACTTACATTCCTTCAGGATGAATTAAAACAAATTAGAAAGTGTTTGAGTTCCATTAGCTGAATAAATGTATATTTTTATCCCTGGAAAAACATGACAATTGATAATTTTTTAAGTAAAATAATCTCATTAATGCTTTAAAATTTATTCTGTTAATTTGAATTCAGTTATATTGCATGATTTGTTAGCTAAATAGCATTATTTCAAATTTTTTATTTATTTCAAATGGCAGGCGTTTTGATAGTTATCATTAGCCCGTTAGTTGGCTTCGGGCTTCACAAAGAGGAGGAGGAATATCAAAGTGACAAAAAGTAGAGAGNTATATATATATATATATATATATATGACTGAGAAAACGCTTAGAATAATTAATAATTATTGCCGTTGACACGGCAGAACAAAGCAATCCCATTGATCGAATAGGGAGCAGGTGCGTCGTGAGCGCAGAGAACTCTCAGTCAACCGCCAATCAATAGTCCCGGCAGAATTTGACAAATCCTCCATTGTATTATTTATTTATAGCAAATGGCAGGCGTTTTGATAGTTATCATTAGCCCGTTAGTTGGCTTCGGGCTTCACAAAGAGGAGGAGGAATATCAAAGTGACAAAAAGTAGAGAGGGGGAATAGAAAAGTGGTTCAAATATGTGACAGAGACAGACAGACAGACAAAAAGACAGAGAAAAGGTATGGTGAGTACTGCAAAGGGGTAGAATATGGCATACGGTGGAGTGATGGCAGTTTGAAGTCAGAAGTCAACTNNNNAATAACTATCAAAACGCCTGCCATTTGAAATAAATAAATAAATTATGACGAGTCAAGGTTGCCGATGTTAAGTGATTAAAACGCCTCATTTTGAGTGATAAGAAATTTTTTAATGCGTTTTCTGCTAATCATTTTTGCTCATATTATCTAATTATAGGGTAACATGTTTCATGTGATAAGATAATAACTCAAGTTAATGGTAAGCCACTGAACGCAAGTCAATGGAAAGTTGGAAATGTCCTTGAACCTAAACATGAAGTACTTTACTCCCCGTGGAGTGGAAAATCACGGTGAAAAGTGCTTCAATTCAGAAACTAGAAGAAGTCTAAGATCTGAAATTGGTTTTTACCAACCTTATTCTGTATCGTATTGTTCAGAAAAATGAAAAAATCGCATCGCTGTTAACGTGACTAAGCCATTCTTAAACAAAATTCCTATTTAGAATTAGAAAATATATATTTATTTCAAATGGCAGGCGTTTTGATAGCTATCATTAGCCCTTTAATTGACTTCGGGCTTCACAGAGGGAAGGTTCATCAAAGTAGCAGAAAGTCGAGGGGTGGGGAACAGAAGAGCGATTCACAGATGTAAAAGAGGCAGACAGACACAAAGGCAGAGAAAAGGGTAAGATGAGTACTGTAGAAGCGGTCGAATATGACAAGCAGTCGTGCCATGGTATTTTGAAGTCAGAAGTCAACTGCGGTTAATTGACATTTTGCCGTATGAGTATATGTTGCCCAGGGTGTACCACGTGGAGGTAAGTCTATCGCACGCCCCTAATTAGAAAATATTATTACTTGAAAGTGGCGCTAGGAGATGAATCAATCAAACAAACAAATAAGTAGTGAATGAAGAACAAAAGTTTGTTTTGCGCACAGCACTGTCATAGCTGAACTCAGACGGACTCGAAGGTGCGGCCGTGCTACTAGTCGCGTAGACAGAACAAAGCAATCTTATCGATCGAATAGGGACCGGGTGCGGTCGTGAGATCAGAGACCTCTCTGCCAGCCGCCAATCACTAAGTCCCGCGTGGTTTAACAAGCCATTTATTGTACTTTTAACGACATGCTCAATCCAAATTAACGTGTTCCACACTCCACGCCTGCTTCCTCTATAGCTTAGCTAAACCTGGAATCTTTTACATACTATGAGATCTTGCTATATTGGTTGCTGAGCATATGTCAAGGGTCACCAGACGTGATCGGCTCAGCAGAGACGTAATCTCTCTCCCTGGCACTGCGAGTTCTTTTCATACCTTCCACAGTTACCATCCTTTCGCTAGCTCACTCCTTTTGTCCTCTAGCGCGATCAACGTGTTTTCCCATCTTCAACCCAAAGCATCCTCATATCTGATCCGTAAAACTGGAAGTTATCCTCAAATTAAGTTGTGCTACCAAACAGAGAATGCCCTTTCACCATTCTATCTCTGTTCTGCTATCCACTCTCGTACCACTGGTCTTTAACTTCGTCGATGATGCATTAGGAGACATCTGCTATGACCGTCGTCTCTCTGTTTCTCACCTGAGACATCTTCACCAACTTCTCTCACTAATCGATTTAGGAGATCACACTCCTTCTCAATTCTTATGCCACATGCATTTCTTGGCAAAGTTCGATAGGTGCTACGGCTGAAATGTCTCCCTGTAATGCTTGCCTCCAGGGTAGCCCTCAGCACCCACCTAGATGATCTAGAGAGGCTGCGCATCAAAGCGGTAAAGACTTCAGCTCCTGTTGTTGCCACATCGCAGTGGCCTAACGTCATCACTGAACATGTAGAGAAATTAGAACCGGGGCATCTTCTCCTCTCACGGCAAACGACGTTCCCCGTCTCCAATGGAATCCCATAGTCCCTCAAAATGTCATAATCAAACCTATTCCTATCACAAAATACACGGAGACGACGCCAAAATTGTCAATCAGGCTGTAACTGCCCCCCAAAGTTGACGTTACTATCCCGATATAAAATCTCACCAATTCCGAAGTCAGCATCACCTCTAGTTCTGCAGAAAAATGAACTTTTAAGCACACAGATCTGACCCTGCATGCGACCAACAACCCATTTACGAACCTTCATACCCCTCTGCCTTCTATTTCTGCCCTCAAACACCAAGATTTTAAAATGGCGGAAGCCCTTGAGTCTAATTTTCAAAAAACCCGGCGATGGTCAATCCAGTGAAAAAATTCGATATTGAGACGCTTCATGCTGATACAGGAGGACTCTCTCTAAAGACCTTCCAGATCTCGATGATGACTCCAACTCTCAACATGGAGAGGTTTACAATTTTCTGTCAGAACATGGACGTAAAGCACGCAAGAGGAAAAAATGTCAAGACCTACTGTGGCGCACCAGCAACACTCGCAAGAAGATAATATTGCCTGATACTTGCTGTATTCCAAGCATTTGAACTCTGTCAAAATAGGGAGAATACACACTTCAGTACTACAGAGACCATCCCTATCAATTTTTGAATGTTTTCACAAATTCCCTCGCTTTCTACTAAACTATAAACCACCAAACATTATTTATTTATTTATATCAAATGGCAGGCTTTATGATAGTTATCCTTAGTCCTTTAGTTGACTTCAAGCTTCACAGAGGAAGAGGAACATCAAATCGAAAAAAGTCTAGGGGGGTTGAACAGAAGAGTGTTTAAAGATTTTAAAAAGACAGACAGACACAAAGGTAGAGAAAAAGGTAAGATGAGAACTGTGGAAGGGGTCGAATATGACAAATAGTCGAGCCATGGTAGTTTGAAGTCAACTGCCGATAAATAGACTTTTTTACCGTATGAGTATACGTTGCCCAGGGTGCCCCACGTGGAGGTAAGTCTATCGCACACCCCAACCACCAAACATAAAAGTCAGCCG